AAGATGGGGTAGGAACAAGATATTAGGAAGTGACCGGAGCTCACGCTCCTGAGGCAGGCGCTGTGCTAGGCGGAGTTGTGGTGAACTGGGATGGGAACTGGATACGGAGAAGTAACCGGAGCTCACGCTCCTGAGGCAGTGGGCAGTGCTATGTGGAGCTGTGATAAGCTGGAGAAGGAACAGGATACAAGGAAGTAGCCGGAGCATGTGCTCCTGAGGCAGGGGGCTGTGCCACGTGGGAGTGGGACGGCAGAGGACGAGTTCCTTTGTCTAGCCCCCTCCCTAGGTACAATATCAACCCCAGACGTCTCCTTCCTGATTTCCTGGGTCACATACTTTCCTTTGTGTAGCACTGACCCCAGACACCTCCTTCCTGTGTCCTTCCTGACTTCCTGGGTCACATCCTCTCCCTAGGTACAGCTCTAACCCAGACGCCTCCTTCCTGTATCCGGTCCTAGCCTCCTGCGTCACTTCCTCTCCCTTGGTGCGCTAAACCCAGACATCCCCTTCCGGTATCTGATCCTACAATCAATGACTAGTAGGCGGGCTGAGGAGGAGGGGCTAAGTAGGTACTTAAGGAACGGTAGTGGTCGGAGCTCTCTCTCTTTTTTGCTCCTGCTCTCTTGCTCTGGCTTTCCTACTTGGCCTTGCTGTGATGGCCTCTGAATAAAGCTCGAGTGTTGGCACCTCCTGATCGGCTCGTCTCTGTGTGTTTATCCGGGTAGGCTCTGAAGACTGGTAAGTAGTATGACCCTGGCAGCCTGCTCCTTATAGGAGGAGAGTGTACGGCGCGGCTGGCACAGTCTTGCTTGTTTATAGTTGTATCGAGTGTACTTTGGCACAGTGCCTGATACACAGCAAACCATACATGACATATACATTCATAACTTTTAAATATTCATTCTAATTTTTGTAGGTTGCAGTTGAAAAACCTCTATTACAAAATTGCATTATATTAAATTAGTGTAAATTTTAAATTCAAAATGATAGAGAGATGATTTAATGCTATTCTAGACTTCTTTCAAGCTTGCAGGGGATCTCTAAAACTTCTGCAGATATTTCCTAAATGTCAGCTAGTATACAAAGAACCTGACTTCCACAAAATCTATAGCACACTTACAAAGGGTATCCTTGAATCACTGAGCAAGGAAGAAAAAGACTTTATCAAAAGGCTCCAAAATCCTACTAAGCATTAGAAATTCTACAGTTAACCACCTCTAAAAATGAAACTCTCTTCTATTTTTTTCATCAATATAAAATCAATTAAAAAGCAATAAAAATTGCATTCTTTGTACCTAGTCACCATTTCATGAGAATTCAGATTCAGGCCAGGCAACTGGGTTTCCATGGTCATTTGAGGAGGAAGGGTATTTCATAATTTTGAAAGTTACAAGAGACCTTAGAAAGTCAAATATTTTCATTTTACAGACAATGAAAACAGGGCCCTGAAAAGTTAAATGACTTTTCCAAGGTCAACACAGATAAGTAGTTAATTGATGTGAGGTTAAGAACTTCCTATTTTAATCATGGTCCCACCAAATCCTGGATTTAGCCTTTATAACTTCAAATGCAGAGCCCTTTCTACTATATTATGCTACTGTAGACTTCTTTGTCTTAATTATATAATAAATAGTTATCAAGCTCCTATTATGAGTGCAAGCTCTTATATGGTGCAAAGAGTTAGGGTTACTAAGATAAAAACAAAACAGTCTCTACCCTCAAAGAACTTACATTCAAAATTCTCTTTCCCTCATTATCAACTAGGTTTTCAAATACATACATTGTCTCCTTTTATGTTCTCTGGAACCCACTCTATATTTCTCTAAAACCTGCTAGGGTCCATGTACAAATACTTTTCATAGGCCTAACTCCAGGACCCAAGATTCTCTTTCAGGAGACAGCACCCATTAAAAATTCAAATGACAACAATTTTGAGGGGCCATTGGCACAGTCCATTGCTGTGAAGGATCAGTTCTTAATGTACTTTCCTATGATTCTCCTTTCAGCTGGGGATCTCTCACATACTTGAGTGAGAAAATAAGGGGCATGAGTTCCCTCTTCTCCCCTACTTTTTATTTCAAAATCCGTAGACCTCATCCTCCATTCCCTCCTTCTTTTACTCCTGCCTCTCATAAAAAGGTGACCCTTTTCCTTCCCAAGACCTACCCCTCCTACTTGTATATCTGATCCCAGTTCTTCCTGTTTTCTCTAGCCAACTATGCCCCAAGTCATCACCTTTCTAATCTTCAGTCTCTCCCCGTCTACAATCTTATTCTCCAAGGCTACAAACACACTTTAAACTCCCTTTAATTCCTCAGCCTATCACCCCATCTCCTCTCCTCATTCACTTCTCAACCTCTTGTAATCTGGCTTCCGACTTCATCACTCAACTAAAACTACTCTATCCAAAGTTATCAACAATCTCTTAATTACCAAAATCTGATGGTCTGTCAATCCTCGTATCTCTGAACTTCTCTGCAACATATGATACTATTGACACCTTCTCCTCCCATTTACACTTTCCTCTAGGGATTTTCATGACACTATTGATTCTTGCTACCTGTCTGCTCCTTGTCTCCTTTGCTCAAAATCATCATCTGTATTATGCCCCCCCCACAATCATGGCCCTTTCTTTTCTTTACTTTTTGGTGTCCTTCTAGTTCCTATAGGTTTAATTAACATTTCTATGTCCTAATTTCTCTCCTGAGCCCCAATCCCCCATAACCAATTGCCATCCATCTCAAAATGCATGTCCCAGAGATATCTCAAACTCAATACATTCAAAAACAACTTATTTTCCTCTAAATCCACACATGCTCCCAATTACCCTATTCCTTTTAAGGATGCAATCATACTTCTAGATTTCCAGGTTTGCAACTTTGGTGTTATTCTCAAGTCCTTACTCCTTTCTCCTTTTCATTCACAGGCCAGTACCCTATTTCAGATTCTCTTCACCTTTCACCTGGAACACTGGAGAAGCCTCAAAATTGGTCTCCCTGCCTCCTCTCTCCCCTGCAATCCATCCTCCACACAGCCACTAGTGATTTTCCTAAAATGCATGCCTGACCACGTCTTGCCCCTGTTCAATAAACCCCAGTGCTTCCTTTAAGAGTCAATACAAACTCCTGCCTTCATTTAAAGCCCTTCAGAGCCAGTACCAATCTATCTTTCTAGCCTTATTATACATTACTCCCCCTCTCCCCACTTCATACACTTCTATAGTGCCACCAAACTGGACTCTTGTCTTTCATATACAATATTCCACCTCACTTCCTCAGTGTCTTTGTACAGGCTGTCCCCCCAGGCCTGGAATGACTCTTAGAATCCCTAATTTCCTTAAAAGCTCAGCTCAAATGCCAAGTAGGCTTTTTCTGATCTCCCCTCTTCATCCCACTAGCCTATATTTCCCCCACCATTTGCCCAATGCTTTCCTTCTTAATTTCCTATTTATCCTGTATATAGCTTACTTTGCATATATTTGTTTGCATATTGTCTCCCCCATTAGATTGTAAATTCCTTAAAGGTAGGGACTATCTCTTGCCTCTTTCTGTATACTCAACACTTAGCACAGTGCTTCGAATATAGTAGGTGCTTAATAAATGTTTATTGAATTATTTTCTACTAATTGGTCGTGTGTTGGCATAGACTTGGCATTGGAGCCAGGAACCTGAGTTCAAGTTCTTCCTGTACACACCGGCTATTTGTCCCTGGACAAGTCATTAAATTTCTCAGTGTTCCAAGCAATTCTAAGAATAATTCTTAACTATGTTGTACACAGGTACTGACCTGCAATGGAAAATGAAAATTTCCTCATCGGGAGTTTATACCAATGACAATCCAATTAATAAGTCTTTTGCACATATTTCGATGCATAGTTGCCCAAAGCCTTCAGAAAGCTAAGTTTATTAAGAGCAGGTAGTTTCACTTTTTTTTTTTTAATCTCCAGCACCCGGCACAATTTGCCAGTCATATAGCAGCGTTTTTTGCAGTCGTATCTCCCTCTCAGACGCCTAGAGGGCAGGGGCTCTGCCTAGTTATACCAGTTTGGACAACCCAGTGCTTTGTACACAACAGGTACTCAATAGGTGCACGGTACAAAGTGGAAAGACTAGCAGTCTTGGCAAGCCTGGGCAAGCCGCAACAAGTCTATTTTCTCATCTCTAAAACGGAAAAATTGTGCCCGTGAGATTAATCCACAATATTTTTACGAGTGGAGAGAGCCGAGCTGCAAAGCGCTTTGCAACCACTAAAGCGCTCCCTAAGTGTCGGCTGATAATGATTAAGGTCCGTGGATCAAATGCAGGGAAATTTCCCACTGGGGGCCCCGGAGGCCCATGGGAGGTGGAAGGCGGCTCTTCGGCAGTCCTTCCAGGGAGTATGAACGGAGACCGGCGGGGTCCGGGTTCACCGTGGGCAAGTCCAGCCCACGCCGACCACCGTCCCGGGGTGGGGCGTCCTATACGCTCCAGCAGGCTCCAAAACCCGGCCCACGTCATTTTCCCCTCAGCCACGCCCTCCTCCACTCCCCACCAGCCGCAAGCAGCCCACCCCGCACGCCCGCCGCCCACGCTACCCCGCTTCCGGTGCCAGGCCGGGGGAGGCCGAGGGAGAGTGCAGTCAAGACGCTCCAAAGTGGACTCGTCCAACGAACTCAAGCCGGGAGGGGTGGGGGCGAGTACAGAATCCCCAGGGCTTGTAGTAAAAGCGTGGGAGACAGTAGCGCCAAGAGGGATCATTCGAAGAAGAGATGTTGATGGAACTTCATTCGGTTGAGGGAAAGAGAAAAAACAAGAAAGGCCTTCTTCCTTCCTTTAACGTTTATCCTTCTAACTACGCCCCACCCCCCGCTGCACTGGGAATGAAAAATGCCGGGCTGGAGGACTGCTGGGTGGGAGGGGGGAAGAGGAGAAGGAGGAGGAGGAGGGAGAGAGAGAGAGAGAGAGAGAGAGAGAGAGAGAGAGAGAGAGGGGGGCGAGGGGAGGGGGGGGGGGGGGGGGTGGCACCTCCTCCTCCCGCCTCTTCGCGTTAGTTCCGGTCGCAGAGGAGCCACCGCCGCAGTTACCGCCACCTCGGGGATTTCTGGCTCTTTTCTCTCCGCCTTAAATTCGGTAAGCCGAGGCCGTCCTCGGCCCCCGGGGCAGGGGGCGGGCGGGATGCAAGCCGCCTGGCCCTTCCGTGCCTAGGCAGGAAGGCGGCGGGCGCCCGGCCTGCGATGGTGAGGGCAGTGGCGGCGGCCGGATGAGGCCAGGCCCGGTCCGAGCCGGGAGCTGGATTCGGAGCCGCACCTGGGGAAGGTGAGGCGGTGGGAGGGAGGGGACGGGCGTCCGGAGCCTGGCCCGGCCGCCATCGCCTGGCCCCGCGCTGTGTGACCCCGCCCGGGACCGGCCTGGGTAACAAAGCCGCCGCGGCCTCTGTTGAGTGTCGTACGCGTGGGGGGTTCCGGGCCGGCGGGCGGGGCGGAGGAGCCGGAGCCGCCGCCGCCGCCGTCGCCGCTGCTACTGTTGGAGGGGAGGCGGATGTACGGGGCGGCGGGGGCCCCGGCGCGGAGCGCTTCGGCGCCTGTGATCCGCTCGCTGCGGCGGCCGCCGCCGGCTACGGGGTCAGTGAGGAACGGAATGAGGGGCGTGAGTGGCGTCGCGTCCGAGGCGGGGACCGGGTTCCCTAGCGCAGCCCTAGCCCCGTGTCACGGCCCGGGAGAGGGGGTGATGGGCACGTGCCGTGCCCGGGGAGCCGCGGGGGGCTTCGCATGCCATCCCGGCTGAAGGGAGAAGGCGGGGTGGGGGTCTCGGCTCGGTCGCTGTCTGGAGCTCCACTGGGGGGGGGGGCGTGCATCCAGCTGCTGCGGCCCGGAGGGTGCTGCTCTGGGGTGGGATGGTAGGAACAAGCAGGCCCTGCTGCTGGGGGCCAGATTTGCCCAGATCCATCCTCTTCCTGAGCTTAGAGTCCGAGGAACGCCTCTGGGCTGCGGGACAAGGAAGGGAAACTGTCGGAGTGCTGTCCGCGACGGCCTGGCCGTTCTCAGAGGCAGCTAGTTAGTGGGCAGTCTTAAAGAGAAAGTTGAGCTTCTCCACATGTGTGAGGCCTAGTGCTTGCACGCCCTGGCGTGCTAACCTGCAAAAGGACTTTCACAATCCTGCCACAAAGGACTTTAATTCTTTGGAGCTCTGAGGTATATATGCATACACAACCCCAAACTCTGCAGGGGCGTCCATTTCCATCGGCTTTTAAATGGTTAAGCTGAGAAATTTCTGCTGCTTTTTTTTTCAAAGGAAAGTGCTTGTTTGTCATTTTGAAGAACCTGTTTCTCTTTCCCAGGGTGTCTTTTATGAATAATCAAAAGCAGCAAAAGCCAACGCTATCAGGCCAGCGTTTTAAAACTAGAAAAAGAGGTAAGTATCGTTCCTGTTTTGGGCTTTTTGTACTCTTTTTAACATTTCCCATTCTCACTTTTTATAAGATTTGATGCAGATGTTATTTTTGACTCAATCTGACCAGTACTGTCGGTTTTCCTTTTAATCTGAAGTTCCTTGTTGACCAGTGAACAGATTTTAGGTTTATCCAAAGAGTTTGCATTCTGGTTTTCTTATAGCTTCTTGACTTTTATGTATTGACACATCTAAGGAGTTCAGCAGTTTTCTCTCATGGTCTAACTAAATCTGACTTCTACTAGTTTGTGCATATTTTAAAATATTTGTGAAAAATACCTTTTTTTGGCTAGGAATTTCAGTTTAGATAATTAATGTTGCTCAAACTTAATACAATATTTGTGTGGGATGCTCAGATGTATAAAAATTCTGAGATTTCATATTCTCAGGGAAGTATGTGCTTTTTAATCACCCAAAACACTTTGGAGAAATATTCCTCCTGTTTTTCATTATTATTCTTTTTTTTTTAAATAGAGTTAGTTAAGACTGCTTTAAAAAAATGGGTGTTCTGTAGAACTCAATGCCTTTTTTGTGTTTCTTAGCTTTTGTCCAGTCCAACAAACATTTATTAAGTGCCTAACATGCAAGGCAAATGCCCCCCTCCCCCCTAAAAAAAATTCTCTGTCCTCAAGGAGCTTACATTTCTAATAGAAAAATACACAACATTTAAATGCTTAAATATGCATACTTGATTATCTGAGAGGTCTTCTGGATTTCAGATCCTATGCTGTATCTACTACTCTTAGGTAACATGGGGAATTGGGAAATACTTTTCTTAGAAGTAGCACATGAGCTGAGCCTTGAAAGAAACTAGAGATTCTGATAGACAGGGGTCAGGAAGGGGGTACCTTTTGAGAGACCACCTGTACAAAAGGAGGTCTTTCAAAATGATGAGAATTCTACAGATTTATTTTCATTTTGTGAATTGTAATGAGCATTTTCTTTGACTACATTTACCACCTAATGATTTGTAAAGATCAAGCAAAATAATATGTAAAATGCTTTGTTTGCAAAGCTTAAAGCAGTTAACATAAATGTGAACTACTGCAATTAATAGCATAGAGTATTTGTCTTGGACCTTTGCTGGCAGTATTTTCAGATTTGAACTTTTTTGATGTCAGCTTGGTTGCACAGTGAATAGAGCAAGTGGCTTGGAGTCAAGAAGACCTGAGTTCAAATGTGACCTCAGGCATTTAACAGCTGTGTGACCCTGAGCAAGTCACTTAACCTCTGTCTCGGTTTTCTCATCTGTAAAATTGGGATAATAATAACATCTGCCTCCCAAGATTGTTGTGAGGCTCAAATAAAATTAATAATTGTAAAGGGCTTAGTCCAGTGCCTGGCACATGTAAGCACTATATAAATGTTCGGTATTATTATTATTTTGAAGCATTTTTATGTAAAATAATTCTTGATCCTCCAGATAATCCTGTGAAATATTTAGGTAGGGCACAAGATATCCCCGTTTTAGAGATGCAGAATGAAGGCACAGAAAGAGTACAAGTAGGTGGCTTGCCCAGCACAGTGAATTAGTGGCATGGATGTGAACCTAGAACTTTGTCAAGAGGCTGTAGTCAGCTTTTCATGTTTTTGTTGGGTATGTATAGTAATTGCAAGTTCTGAACATTATGTGAAAGGGTGCTTTCCACTTTGCAGTACTTTTGATCACTGGTTCTTTTGTGGTGGTACTAGAGACCCCAGTGAAGGTCTCTTTTCTCATACTTTAGGGGAGGAGAGGCAGATAAAAGCGTTTCAGAGGAATTAAACCTAAGGCTTATTGATGCATATCACTGCTAATGAGGAAAGGAACATGCAAATTGAATAAACTGGTTATATAAATGAATAGTATCATCTCTATATAAAGAATAATGTATATTATTCGTAGAAGGGATGTGCATGTCATTTGATTCTGGCACAGTTGGTAGGTCCCCTCATACTTGAGGGAAGGTATAGTGTATTATATATCCTTATCATAAGTTAGTTATTCAAAAAAAAGGGATTGAGTTTTTTAGTTTGTGGTGTTTTTTTTTTCCCCCCAAGTACTATATCTTCAGATTTTACCTTGAACAGACTTAGCCTTAAAGTAATGCCAGAGCTTTTAAAAAGTCAAGATTATAAGAGAGGGTAGCTGAAAAATTACATTCTCTGCCTTGGGAGGAGAGGGGTGTAAGTACTGAATGAATAGCACTGGCAGTGAGTGCTTTAGAAGTTGGAGGGGTTTGGTGGAACTCTTAAGAACTGGCTTGGTCAGCACCAAGTTAAGGGTTCTATTCACTCCACCAAGGGATAGCTAGGATTTGACCAATAGGATAAGGTCAGGGGAGGTCCTGCTACGTGAGAACTATTAGTAGCAAAGACAAATGGGCATTCTAGGAACAGCGTACTTAGTCTTGTTGGGTTCCATGGAGGAGTAGTGAGAATAGATTGGAACCGTGTTGTGAATATTAGAAAGAGGACTCCCTTGTTAATTTATTTTGGAGGAGGGATTTGCTGCTTTCGTTGTAATTCTGAGGATTTGTCTAAACTGGGTGTTTTTTATTTCAGATGAAAAAGAGAGGTTTGACCCTACTCAGTTTCAGGACTGTATTATTCAAGGTTTAACTGAAACTGGCACTGATTTGGAAGCAGTAGCAAAATTTCTTGATGCTTCTGGGGCAAAACTTGATTATCGCCGATATGCAGAAACACTCTTTGACATTCTGGTGGCTGGTGGCATGCTGGGTAAGTGGTTCTCTTGGACAACGTCAATATGTGGACTTGAATGCCGGGATATGAACTTTAATTATTACAACTCTGTTTAGTGCCTTTGATAACCCATCACAGCTTAGCCCTGTTCTTTTCATATTTGTATTTTTTCACTATATGCTTACTTATTAGTCCTTTAACAATCACAGCTGAACTTTATGAAGTACTTTACGTACAGTTTCATTTTAAGTCTCAGAACCCTTATGAGGTGGGTACTACAGGTATATTGATCCCTGTTTTATAGATAAGAAAACTGAGGTGCATGGAGTTTACGTAGGATTCAAACCCTGGTTTTCCTGACTCCAAACTCTGTTTCATTGAACCATTGGGAATTGGAATCATTTTAAAATTGTAGGTAGTCATGCCTTTCATTCACTAAACAGAATTGACTCTTAGTAACTGAGTCTGTTAATTGTACCCCACATTTAGGCATGGTGTCTACCTGGTTTTTTCCTCCTTAATTATGAGAATTAGTCTATTTGGTTTTTACTTCAGGTACTTGATACTTAATATTATTTACCAGATATCTAAAATTGGTTTTTCACCCTTCATCTGGAAAAGTAGCTGATTCTTTCTTCTGTAGTTTCCTTTTCAATTCTCATCTTTTACTGAAATCAGTTACTTGTTGTTCAGAGAGCCTTGTATTCTATCCATACTGCTTCTGTACATAGTTGCCTAGTATTGATAGACAATACAATCTATAGAAAGGATTGTGAAATAAGTGTAAACTGGTGGGGTCAGTTTTTGGTGTAAAATGCCAGTGGGTGTGGTTTTTGGGTTAATAATTTTTTTATTTAAATTTTCATTTTTAAAATCTACTCTGAAAGCATACAGGAGATTTTAATGGTTAATTAAGTTAAATATGTGAACTTTTCGGGGCACTTTAGTCAGCTTTATGAAATTTTCTATGATTAAAAAAATCTTTCATTCATTAAGACTACAGTAGTTTAATCATACCTTTTAATGTAGAATTATTTCTAGTTAAGCCATTGCATCTTCTAGCATTCAGGTTTCATGCTTAGTCAAATTTTAAAGGTTCCAGGGTAATTGAGGTTTGAATTCTCCTAAAAAGTTTTAAAATTACAACATTTTGTAGTTTACAAAAGTTTTACTACTTTAACAAATGTGTCACTTTTATTAATGCTTTTTCATCCAAATCTGGCTGTGTCAAAACTAGAATAGGGTAGACTCCACTGATCTTTGTCATACTACTCCATTTACATGCTGGCATTTACTTTGCCAAAGCTAGGTCTCACTGTAGCTCTTGTTAACCATACTATTACCATATAGTTTTGCAACTTTTCTTTTCCCTTTACATTTTTCATTTTGTTACTGCTCTTTAAAAGAGATTAGATGATTTTGTATAAAGTTACTTTAACCTTTATTTGGGTTGCCAAAATTATATTATGTATGTTAAATATATCTTAGCCCCAGGTGGTACACTGGCAGATGACATGATGCGTACAGACGTCTGTGTATTTGCAGCACAAGAAGACCTAGAAACCATGCAAGCCTTTGCTCAGGTAAAAACTTGATCCACAGGTTAAATCCACAAGTTAAATTATGTTGTTTTAACAATCATGCTGAGTCTGGTTTACACTTAAGGGATTTCCTATTTTTGAGGAGTTATCAATAGAACATAGATGTTTGGAAATAATTTTTCAATGCTAGATTAGTATCTTATCAATATTTTTTTTTATTTTTTTGAGAATTCATGAAGAGGTAAAAAATTTTAAAGATAGGAATATCTTAAAAAATACATTGGTTAAAATAGTGGGAAACTATTCTGTTTCTCTTTCACTCTGGTGTGGTCCCTCAGCTCCAGTTTCCTTCTAAGTGTTATTTTTCAGGGTGGGATTTATTCTGCATGTAACTATATTTTACATTTATTTTTGGAAGCACCTCGGTGTAATGGATAGAAAGCTGAACCTGGGCACACTCAGGAAGAAGAGGACCTGGGTTCAAATACTGACTGTAGCCCTAGACAAGTCAGGAAATTAGCTATCAGTACCACAGACAAGTAGAGCAGCTGCTGAACCACTTTGTAGTAGAAGGAATTTCCTCACAAGAGTTTTTAAACCAGTAAAACCCTAGGTGCAGACCCAATAATTGTTTTTTATTGGTGCCTTTTATTTTTATATCATTTATTTCTGAATACAGATCCCTTTCTCCTTAGCCTCCCTCCTAATGAGCCTTCTCTTGGTTTTAAAAAGAAAGTTCCCTAAAACCAATCTGCACATTGGCTGGTTCTAACAGTTCTAAATGCAGTATTCCCTACTTATAATCTCCTCATTTCTGCAGTGGAGAGAGTCAGTTACACTTTGGATTCATGTAGATATTTTTAAAGATAAATCGGTAACCAATAAGAAGTTTCCCTCTTAAGGAAATGAAGCTTGGCTTAGAGGATTGATTCTGTTATAAAGATATATATTTTTTGATTTTTAAAAGAAAACCCAAGTTCACTGACCCTACAGGTAAAGAACTGGATTAAATAGTCTGTGAGGTCCCTTTCAATTTTGTGGTTCTATAAAAAGCAAAAGTGGGGGACAAAAGGTAGTATTAGTCCTGTTCACATTGATATTTGTGAACTTATACTAATAATGATAAACAACTAATTTTGTTCCTAGGTATTCAACAAGTTAATCAGGCGATACAAATACCTTGAAAAGGGATTTGAGGATGAAGTTAAAAAGGTACAAGGAACAGTTTTGATGTGAAAAATTTTTTGTGACTCTTTCAGCAAGTTCTTAAGAGTTTAACTTAATGCTTTTCATTCAAATAATGTAATTTTGCTCTTTACATTTCAGTTATCTCTTCAGTGCTGAAATTTTCGTTGTAGGGAGTTTATATAGCACTTCTTGGTTGAATTGTGTCAGAATTTACAACTGAATTTACTTAAGTAAAAAGTTTATTAGTGAAGGAAGACAAGGAAAAACAGCCGGAAAAATTAAATTTGTTGTTATCTAGATCCATGCTACTTTAGCATCAAATTCATTTGTTGTATCTGTTTTAAATATAATTTTGCTGCTACTTACCGTGAATGTGTCGCAGAATTAAGGGAAGGGATAGAAATCTGGGTAAGCTTTGGTAAGAATTTAAATGGGGAACCAGCAGAACCTGGGAGACTCAAACTTAACCCTTAATAGAACTGTAAGTTTTGCAGACTTATTCACAAATCTTACTGTTGTGCATTTAACAAATAACCCTACCCACATTTCAAATAATGTGATTGTACTGATTACTTATCATTTATTCCTACAGCTGCTGCTATTCTTAAAGGGTTTTTCAGAGTCTGAGAGGAACAAACTGGCCATGTTGACTGGGGTTCTTCTGGCCAATGGGACACTTAATGCATCCATTCTTAACAGCCTTTATAATGAGAATTTGGTTAAAGAAGGTAATTTATTTTACTTTGTTGAGATTGTCTTTTTGTTTGACTCAAGGTTTGGAGGTTTATGGGAGAGCAAGAAATAGGTAGCAGCTGGTTTTAGATAAGTGTGGATTATTTAATAGTTTTCATGCTTTGGTTGTTTCTGTATGTAATCTTTTATTCTTTAACCCTTAGTTTAAGGATTTTTTTTTTTTTAAATAAAAAGTTCTCTAATTCTTTAGGCGTTTCAGCGGCCTTTGCTGTAAAGCTGTTTAAATCGTGGATAAATGAAAAAGATATCAATGCAGTAGCTGCTAGTCTTCGAAAAGTCAGCATGGACAACAGACTGATGGTATGTGGACTGTCTCTATTTTCAAATGAATATAAATCAGTGTAAAGATTTTTTTTTTCTCTTATTAATCTTAGGATGCAAACTCAGGAAACTAATAGCTGCTTTAACATTTTATTTCAGGAACTTTTTCCTGCTAACAAACAAAGTGTTGAACACTTCACAAAATATTTTACCGAAGCAGGTCTAAAAGAACTTTCTGAGTATGTTCGGAACCAGCAAACCATAGGAGCTCGTAAAGAGCTACAGAAAGAACTTCAAGAACAAATGTCACGTGGTGATCCATTTAAGGATGTAAGTTGTCATCCATTTTACTTTGTCTTTGAGGAGGTTGTAGCTTTAATTCTGACCTTTTTTTCTGTTTCTTTTGATCCATATTATTTTTTTATTTCCTCTATTACAGTGATTATTTTTCCACTTTTTAAGAAATGTTGTACAAGTTCTCTTATAATTTCATTTCTCTCTCTGCTAAGAGTTCTGTTTTCTCTGGAGGTAAGAATTCCTTAACAACATTAAGGAATTCTATGACTGTTCCATGATTGTATCTATCACTTCAATAGTCAACCGCTACTCTTATGTTCTTCCTCACTCCTTTTAGCATAAGTAATTAAGAATTGACTGAGGGTTTTCTCCTAATTAACTCATATCCTCTGCTTTTTTCAGTCAGTGTCTTTCTGAGGGCCATTGTAAACTTTAAAATTCTAACAGACAACATTTTTACATTTTATTTTTGTTCATTCATTTTTTAAAATTTTGAATACCAAATTCTTTTCCTCTCTCCTCTTTCCCCTCCACCCCATTGAGAAGGCAAGCATTTTTATATAGGTTATACATATGCAGTCATGCAAAACATTTTCATATTAGTCCGTGTTGTGAGAGAAAACAGACCCAAAGTGGGTGAAACATACACATGTGGAAAACAGTATGTTTCTGTCATCATTCAGACACTCCATCAGTTCTTTCTCTGAAGGCAGATGGCATTTTTCATCATCAGTCCTTTGAAATTGCCTTTCATTCACAGTTGATCATCCTACAATATTGTTGTTAATAGAGACATTATAATAGAAAATGGATTATATGATCAGGAGATTCAGATTTTGTCATGGCTTTACTACTTACTGTAACTGTCTTCAAAACCCTTGACTTGGGGGGTGGGATTAGGCAATGGGGTTAAGTGACTTGCCCAAGGTCACACAGCTAATGAGTGTTAAGTGTCTGAGATTGGATTTGAACTTAGGTCCTCCTGATTTCAGGGCCAGTGCTCTATCCACTGCACCCATCTAGCTGTCCCATCACTTGACTTTTTAAGGCTCAGTTTCTTCTTGGTTATTGAGAGGTGTGTCAGACTAAGTGAACTAAGGTTCCAACTTCAAAATTGTATGAAATGTGATGTGTGTGATTGTACCTGCCTGGAGAACAGACACAGGAAATCTTCACAGATTTAAGTAGGCAGTTTAAAGCTTAAAGATATTTAAAAGCCAGAATTAATTTCTCGTACTGAACTTGGGATACTTTTGCAGATAATTTTGTATGTCAAGGAGGAGATGAAGAAAAACAACATCCCAGAACAGATCGTTATAGGCATAGTCTGGTCAAGTGTAATGAGCACTGTGGAATGGAACAAAAAGGAGGAGCTGGTAGCAGAGCAAGCCATCAAGCATTTGAAGGTATTGACTTAAAAGCCACAGTTTACAAGGTTCTCTCATTGGCATAGGTGACTTCATCCCTTCCAACTCTGAGTTAGATTTTGTTGCACCAAATGAAATATACAGTGTGGACCACTATGGAAAAGATTACCAAAGGGAGATTTACAAGGAGAAATTCATTATAAATACTGACTTCGGGACTTTGTTTGACTTGGAAAAGATTTGCCGCTTTTAAGTAAGCAAAAGTGAGCGAAAGCAGCTGATGTTCTTTCAAAGTTAATTGTGACTTCTTCCTGTGGCAATGGAGGAGACAGCTGTTATAGCCTGTCTCTTAGTATGTGCATAGATTTAGAGCAGGAGAGACTTCAGAGACAATTTTACAAAAACTCTGGTCCTGTGACCTATTAAAAAAAAAAGATTGTTATTACTAAATCCAGTTTTGTTGACATCCTTGCTTTAGGGAATAATCTTCAAAATACACACATTTATTGTAAAGTATTAATGGTGTGTCCAGCAATTTTTAATGTTCAAAATTGAATTTTTTTAAGCTTCCCCCTCCCTGGTTGTTTGGATTCTGGTGTTGCGGTTTGGCAAACTAATTTCTCTTGGCTGTTTTAAAAAGTCACATAGTCACTGAATTACAACTTAATGTTATTCAACTAGAAACTTTTATTATAGAATCTTTAAACTTTTTTCTCTCTTTTAAAGCAATATAGCCCTCTACTTGCTGCCTTTACTACTCAAGGTCAGTCTGAGCTGACTCTGTTACTGAAGATTCAGGAGTACTGTTATGACAACATTCACTTCATGAAAGCCTTCCAGAAAATTGTGGTGCTTTTTTATAAAGGTAATTTAAGGTCTTCTGAGCATATATATCTATATACATACATATATATACATATACATATATATTTTTTTCCCAAAAAACCCATTGAACCCCATTTTTAGTATTTGCTCATCATCTGAGGACTTTAGTAACATTTGTATGCACTTGAAAAAAATTTCATTGAAATGAGAGTTGAAGGGCAGCTAGTTGGCACAGTGGATAAAAGCTCTGGTTTTGGAGTCAGGAGGACCTGAGTTCAAATCCGGCCTCAGACACTTGACATTTACTAGCTATGTGACCCTGGCCAAGTCACCTAATCCTGATTGCCTCAGCAAAAAAAAAAAAGAAATGAGAGATGAGTGTAGAGGAAAGAGCCCTGGATTTGAGTCAGGACTTGGCTTCTAATCTCCCATGACCGTAGGCAAGTGACTTCCCCTGTCTGGATCTGTTTCTTCCCGTATCAAATGAGGGAATTGGGCTAGGTGACCTTTAAATCTAGGATCCTGTGAGCAGGGGTTTTACCCATGATATCACCGCTTATAGGCAACTCCCTCGTGCACAAACTTTCCTCTGTCCGTTCAGGTTGGCAGCTTCTCTGCAACTTACGTGCCTAGGGTTACATAGCAGGCATCGGCCAGGAGGTACCCTGCCCCAGGCCTTGCTGTTTCTTCGTCCTGTGATGTGATGTTTAAAAGTTTATAAATGAGAATGTTAAAAATTTAGTTTAAAAGAATGTTAGGCAACAATGCCACAGCCTTAACTTAAGGAACCTAATTTGATAAGAAACTCTTCAGAATTTTCATTTTGAGTCAAACACCTAAGTACCCATTCCAGTTGCTTTATTGAGTGTTAGCAGTTGACTATAGCAGAATCATAGAATCTTAATACAAGAAGGATACCTCAATGGTTTGTTCTGCTCTTACATAAACAAGAATCTTTAACAAGTGATTGTGATGTTTAACGTAAGATGTTTTTGATCAGCACCTATTATCGGAAGACTTGCTACTAGACCTAGGTGTTAATATTTTAGCCAATTTGGATGAGCTTTTGAAATTTTTTTTAAAAAAATTCTTTTTAAGTGAACTTCCACATTGAAACCTTACTGTTCACATAGTAGCCCAAGATGAAAATCCAGTAGTCAACAGGGATAAAAGCTAGAATTTGACTTCCCAGAAGATAGCTGTATACTATGTGCATTAATGCTGTTTCCTTTAGAACAAAGACTTCCCTATGATTTCTCAGGAACACAGATCTAGAGCTGCAAAAGAGGGGGACCATTGGAGATTATCAAATCCAACGTGCTCATTCAGTCATTAAACATTTATGAAGCACCTACAATGTGCCAGGCCCTGCTAAGTGCTAAGAATACAAAAGGAGGCAAAAGACAGTCCTAAGTTTGGGGGAAGGGAGAATTGTTGACTTGTATCTCCTATGGCGTAAACTAAAGTTTTCATGTTTCTAAAGGATTTTGTTTCCATTATTTAAAAAACTACTATATGGTAGTTCCTTGGATGAATGGGTTTATTTTGGTTCTTTGTTCTAATTTGCTCTAAACATAAAACAAAGTCATAGATTTCCTTAAGTCTTTAATGTCTTCCTTCAGAGATATGGCTAGAATTTACTTAATATTTGAAAGACTTAAGTTCCTCAAAACAGTTTGAAAGGTTACAGGAAAGCTGGAAGGTATTTTAGGGGGGAAATGTCTTATCTACAGTGAAAAAGCTATAGATTAAAAGAAACAAAAAGCCACATGAATTAAAGCTACAGTATTTCCAAGACACGGCAGAAATTAATTGTACATACACTAAAGGAGAAAAAGAAATTAGCAGAAACAGAAGGTAAAATAAAGAACTGAGTATGATTAGTAAATATCAGGAAAGAAGTATAATGAAACTTGATTTAGAAGTATTCATGGAAAATATAACCAGTTTGTTGAGAAGCAGTTATTTTACAGGAGGATAAATAGCCAAAAATAAAAAAAGTTCAGGAAATTACAGCAAGGGAAATATTTAGGGTCTATATAATTCTGGAACCCAGGAACAGTATAACAAATTTGTGAGTCCTTAAAACCAAGTTACTAGTATATATAACTATTACATTCTATAAGAATAATCATCAACAGAAACTGGAGTTTCAGAGGCAGAATTTGAGTCTGCTCAGACTTGTGATCACAGGATCAACAGCCCAGTGTTTTCAGCACAGAAATTTGTTTAAATATCCCTGTACTTCAAAGGATTGGGTTTCCCTTTTACCAAACCTTGTAATGAATAGCAAATCCTTTCAGAGATCGAGTACTATAGACTGACGTTACTAGATTCCTTCCCTGATAAAGCCAATCTATAGTATCTTTTTGAAAGTGTGCAAATTCTGGGGCAGCTAGGTGGCGCAGTGGTAGAGCACCGGCTCTGAAGTCAGGAGGACCTGAGTTCAAATGTGGCCTCAGACCAAACACTTGACACTTACTAGCTGTGTGACCCTGGGCAAGTCACTTAACCCCAGTTGCCTGAAAAGGAAAAAAAAAAAACAAAACTGAAAAAAACAATATGCAATTCAGCCTGATTTTATGTACCTTATTTTGGTTTGCTTAGCCAGGTCCAGATAGTGCAAATAATCAATCCCTTGAAGTGGTCACATCTATTTGAATTTTCACTATCCAAAATTAAAATTACATTAAATGTTGTGACTGGTTCTACTCCAATGGAAATATGCTGTGTGAATTCAAATAACTTGACCACTTCAGGGAATTGTCACACTTTCTCTTATTGAGTTGTTTCAGTTATATCCAACTCTTTGTGACCTCATCTGGGATGTTCTTATCAAAGATACTGGACTGGCTTGTCATTTCCTTCTCCAGCTCATTTTACAGACAAGGAACTGAGATAAACAGGATTAAGTGACTTGCTCAGGGTCACATAGCTAGTAAGTGTCTGAGGCCAGTTTTGGAACTAAAAAGGTGAGGCTTCCTGACTCTCCCACATATTCTGCCTGTTCTAATTGTGTATAGAATTTTATGCAGTAGAGATATTTAGTTTTTATAATTGTTGGTGCTTAGAAGTAGCCAGGATCTCTTTTTTTTTTCCCAGTTTTTATTCTTCAAAGGTCTTACCATGCAATTTGAACCCTGAAGTACAATGAACTTCTTAGAATTACTTACCCCACTATCTAATAGCTAACAAAACAGTGAAAATTGTCAGCACACTAAAGCTGAAAATCCACACAAGAAATAGGATGTGTTCATAGTCAACTGATGATAATTAATTTGGTCTCTTTTATAGCTGAAGTCCTGAGTGAGGAGCCCATTTTGAAGTGGTATAAAGATGCACATGTTGCAAAAGGGAAAAGTGTCTTTCTTGAGCAAATGAAAAAATTTGTAGAGTGGCTCAAGAATGCAGAAGAAGGTAAGTTAATCATCTTTAAGGCACTTTGTTTAAAATTGTCAGTAAATTCCTATTACCTTCATAGTAATGTGTTGTTTTCTATAGGATACAGAATTTTTGCTGTTTTCAAAACTTGTGAAAAGAACTGACTGACATCTGTAAAAATAGCCATTTGCTTCCAACAAATAGGCTTTTAAAATCAAATTTTATTAACAGGAAATCCTTTTTAGTATGAGGCAGTAAAATGGGAAATTATGAACCTTTTCAACTCTTTAAGAGTTCTTTATACTATAATTTTTCTACATGTCACTTTTAAAAGATAAGTTAGGCTTGTGAGATTAACTCAGAATTTACAGAATGGAGAAACATGGCAGAGAATAGACAAAATTATAACTTCGTTTTGTCTTAAAATGGTGCTTTCCAGATAATTGGTGGTCATTTTGGTTTGAAAATTGACATTGGCTCCTTTCTAGTAATACATATTTAGGAGAGATACAGTAGAAAAAACACTGGTTGGAGTCAGCACTTAGCTTTTCTGACCCTGGTTTGTTTTTTTTGTTTTTTGGTTTTTTGTTTTTTTCAGCTTATTAGTGTTTATACTTAACAGGGTTATAGGTAAGGTGCTTGGTAAACCTTGAAGCACACTAGAAATGAGGTTTTTTTTTTGTTACATTGGCATGCTCTCTGAAAACAGTATGCTGATATCAGACCCTAATTTTCTGTGCCTCGACTTAAAATAAGACGGCCCATACTTTGCCGCTGGGAAGCAGCAGCAGGTCTTGCTTCATTGCACAGAATTGTTGCATTTGTTGATACAGACGTGGGAATTAGATTGCAGTTAGTGAAAGTCTTGGGTTTTAGGGGAAAGTTTTTTTGTTTTCTGAGATTTGTGGATGTCTGACTCTTTGTTTTGAACCTTCCCTTTTTTTTTCCCCCTTCTTCCAGAATCTGAGTCTGAAGCGGAAGAAGGCGACTGATTTGTGAAACTACAAGCTTAGTAAAGCAAACAGGAGTTGTAGATAAAATGTCGTGTCTCATGTGTCCTTCTGGTTCTTACATCTTCCTACCTCCCTGTATCAAGCATGATATAAGGGCTTTCATGGCAAATTTATTTTAACTGTTTTCTATGGTTACTGAAAAATGTTGGGTTTAGTTTTTAAAACCATGTTTTAAGTAGCTACAGGAGCTATAGATTTGAATCTAATGTTGCATTAGTCTTTTCAGTTATCTTCTACCTCCTGTATTTTCTACTGTAATAATGTAATTTAAGGCCTTCCATAATGAACAGTTCATTTTATCCCTGGGTTTTCTATAAACAGTTTACAAGACATGATTTGGTTAAAAACAATTTGTTATGGAAATTCTGTTTGCAAATTAAACTGTACAAGTATCCAAAGTCAAAAGGCAAATGACTTGTGTGATAATTTGGTATGAAATGAAAAGGCAGCATTAAATGGTGTTCAGAGCCCCATTCATCAGATAATCTCCTATATAAGACCTCATGGGTCAATTTCTGAACATTGATTCTAAAGTAATTGGCTTACTCTTTTGTTGATATTACTAAAGAGTACTTCTGTTAACACTTATTTTATTTTTTGGCATTATTAAAAATTTAAGCAAAAGGTTTGCAAGTAGCCTACAGCCAAAATTTCTATTACCCTTGCTCCCTGGTTTGTCACTTGTAAGTAAAGGAATTAAATGGGATCAAAAGAATCAGAAAAGTGAAGGCAGCACAGGTGACCAGGGGGGTGGAAAGAAGAAAATTAAGATCTCTCCTTTGCATGCTCATCTTCATTCAGTTTTTAGCCAGTAAAAGTAGGTGAGCATCTGTTATGTCACCATCTCCAGGTCTACTTACAGATGTATTATTAAAATAGTCTTGTCATTCACAGTATCTTGCACTCTAGAGAACCCTAAGTTCATAAAATAGGAATCATTAAAGGGAGTGCATGTAAGGAAATGACAGATGTCCTAAACCCAGTAAAATTGTTTAATATGTTAAGTGACCAATGTGTTACATATTACAAAGAGCCCCTTTGGGGACTCCAAACATAACTGTCAGATCTGTCTCACTGGCTTAAAGTCATCCTGTTTGTTGTATTGAAATGCAATGATGTAAGCATTGCCTAATATCCACCCCAGTTGCCATTTTCTTCTTTCCACAAGCCAAAAAAGTTTTCTTTCCAGCTCTCGCATCTTTTTATCTGATGGCTTACCTTTTCACTTTAGTTGCTGATAATTTGTCTACATACCTAGCATAGCGATTAAAAGATGAGTAGGTGATTGTTGCCTCATTTTTGGCGACTAAATTTTGTGGTAGGGAAACAATATTTTAAGTGACCGTTTTAAAATAAGGTGTTCTTAACTCTTCACCAAAGCTGGAAACAGTGTCACCAGGACGTCAGTGAAATATGCCCTATCTTAGCATGTGCCATTAAGAACCAAGAATTTGGTATTTAAAATTAAAAGTACACCTTGAGGAAATGAAGTGTGTAATATAATTTGAAATTATAATAGCCTTATAAGAAAGAGCATTATAACTGATAGTCTTGTGAGTGGAGTGTATGTTAAGTTTTCATACGTAGATATTATGTATCTAATAGGTTTCTACTGTAGTGATCTGCTTCCTTTGTAATTTGTAGTCCTAAAGACTTTTTTAAAAAATAAAGGCCATCCTTAAACTTAGGTTTAATAGATCCGTTTTTGTTCAATTGGAACTTTTAAAAACATTCATGCCTAAATGACTGGCATTGTATAACACATCAAAAATGTCTTTCCAGTTTATAACTAATGTAAATGCTGCTTTCATCTGAGTATGTCCCAAACTACAGGTATCATACCCCCAGAGAACTCTTGATCTAGATGAAGCTAGATTAACGTACCTCTACAATGGAAGTCGAGCGTTACTACAATACAGTCAAAAGTGTTTAATTGCATAATGTGTACATTTAAAAGGGGGTATGGGTGGGTGGGTGGGTGTGTGTATGTGTGTGAGAGAGAGTGTGTGAATGGCCTTCCAAGCTGTCTTTTTCCTGATTGCATAAGTCCTATCCTACTAGTGGCATAATAAGGGTTCATTAGTATATGGACCAGTCCCAAAGTAGTACAATGTTAGTTTGAATGGAGACTTGCTTAGGCTTAACTCCTTTAGTACTAGAGCTTGGTGCCAAGATTCAGTGTAATTGGTTTTTACGATATAGCAGTATGGAAAATTAACAACAGGAATCATATAAGATGGGTTTGCCTGCTATGGCAAAGAAGCCAGCTGCCAGTGCCAACCCCATACCCTCAAACGATCCCTAACGGAAAGGCCAAGAATGCTGTGCTTTCAGTGATGGATAAATGTTAGCATTCAAATTTTGTTGTTGCTGGATGTCAGTGTGTATCCTAGCTGGTAATACAAAGATAAAATGTCAGCTCTGCCACTCCTAGAGAGACATTTAAAATATTCAAGTTGAGTCTGGATTTCTTAAGTACTAAACTCCCAACATTTTTCCCCTTCTGGTTGGGAGTATACAACTCCCAAAATTTTTCCCCTTCTGGTGTATTAAAAATTGAAAGTCAAATTAGCTACAGAGCCTTTTGACTTTTTAAAAGATTAATCAAGTGTTGGGGTGAGTGGAAGACATTCACTCTTTATCAGGTGAAGTAGTATGAGTAACTGATTCCTTACTCATAATTCGGTTTAGAATGTTGGTCTTCACTGGAAGTAACTTGTGCTTTGCTTCTTCTGGTTTATAAAGGTTTTTTCATGAGTTTGGCTTTCGTGTTATCAAAGCTTTATGAGACAAAGTCTATGGACCTTTAACAGAAATGTTTTATGATGATATAAGCAAATAATTTTTGGCCCTAGTTCTCTACAAATTGCTATTATCAATTTCACCTTCATGAGTATCCCTTATTGATAAATGTAAAAATGGGATTACAGCTGTGGGTTGCTTTTGGAGGATAGGACTTAAATTTGAGTTTGAGCAATCTTGTCTTAAAAGCAATCTTAGTATAAAATAATTTTAAATTTATTTGGCAATTGGATATCTGAATATAAGATATGCATGTTTGCTTGGGTATAAGCAATTATATGATGGGTGATTTGCCATTTTTCTTTTGCCCACTGTAAAAATTATAATTCAATTCTGAACTATACATGAGTATATTTCATAGCTGTATGTCTACCCATTACAATTTCAAGTTAATCTTTCCTTGTATATTGTGTCCATGTGGACTTAATGTACTACTATCAACTGGTATTTTAAGTGTGTTAGGTTAATTGAGCTAGTGTGAATACTTTGCGCAGTTGAGTTTTGTGAAATTTATTAATGGAAATCTAGGATTACTAAGTTTTGAGCACAAATTTATTCCTTCATAAAATAACAGCTGCCAAGAGCTATTGAACAAGTTTTAAAAGTGATTTTAAATCTGATAAGTGTATTGTACTGTTGGTTAAACAATACAGAGAGGGTTTCTGGTAAACAGCCACTTTTCTATTTGCCCAAACGTTGTCCTTTTTGCTTTATTCTTAAAATCAGACTTGACCACCTAGCATAACTTTGTTTTCTGACAGTGTCACTATCCCCATACAACCCTATTGAGGGTACAACTTTCATGGAACCAAAAGTTTTGTTCAAATGGAGATATTATAAGTTGAAACTAGAGATGTGCTAAATACCACCTAACTAAAATAACTTAATTGTTTCATAAGGTTTTGTCTAGGAATTTATTAATACATGCATTAATGTGATCTCAACGATAACAAGAGGAATATTTTTGCTTAGTGTTGCTTAAGTTTTTTTTTTTAATTCTTTGGCTTGTAGGCATCAAATTAACCCCCTGGGGAGTTATCATCCATATTAACTTAAATAATTATATTACACTTTGTAGCTGCAATAATAGCTTGTCCATTTATATGTAAGCCACCAATATATGCTTCTAATTGTCCTGTTTTCCTAGATTATCTGTACCAAAAGGTCAGCCTTTTTTGGCAAAATGTGTGCAGATGGTTCTTTTCAAATGCATTCACTGTTAATCCATATTGTAGGTTATTTTAAATACTGCATTGAGACTGATTTTTCCAGTTTGGTTATCTAGCTAGATCACTCCATTAGGACATCTAAAGTGTAGGTTCGAGTGGGAACAGTGAGCTATAAAAATGCAGAGGCTTTCCTCTCAAGAATTTAATAAACAATTTATTAAGAGTACAGGTTCAGAGATTGTACCATGAACTACATGTATACATACATATACATATATATATATATATATAGTGGATTTGGGGCTCTGCAAGGTGATCTTGATGAATAACTGTAGTTGGGCACTATCTAAAATCAAGCAGTTGACTTGTAAAGTATGACAATTTCAGAGTGTCTTGAGAAAAACTAGCCAGGAGCCAAGCAATGCTGGTGCTTATTAATGACAAAAGTAGCTTGCACTAGTTCATTTTTTTTTTTTTTTTTGAGCTGCCAGACCCCAAAGCTCCTTTAAAAGTTAAATTTACCTACAGGTAAATAAGTGTTGGCAGGAAACCCCAAAGCAGCCATTTTTTGACCGGTCCTTACTTGTCGGTCTTTAAATATGTTAGAAAAGCTTTGTGTGGTCCTGATTTCTCTAGCATTTTAAGGTTTAAATATCTTGTAAACATGGACACAGTAGTGATGTTCCAAGTAGGAGGAATATAAAAGATAAACGAACATTTGAACTGTGAGTGGAGAAGACAAGCTAGCTAGCTCTTGGCACTCTGGAACATGTCCACAACCTAACTACAGCCATCCAACCCAGTAACTGTACTGATGCCTATTACTATGTATAACTGTGAAACTTGCTTCTTGTCTGTACCCTTGAAATTGAAATAAAATTTAATGAGAATCTTTGTTAATGTAAAAAGAACATTGATGACTGCTCGATATCTGATTTAGACTAGTAATCACTTCTGACACAATTTTGCATCTGCAATCAACAAGCATTTAAACTGATTCCTTACAAACACTTCCCTAGCCAATGTCTGTTGATATATTTTAACCTTAACTGCTGGCTTACAGAATTAGCTATGGGGGCATGAAGATTTAGGATTGTGTGAGCTTTAGTGGTATGTGAGAGAAAGCCTTGGGAAAGCTCAATTTGTCGCCAGCCTAGAAAACATTTGTAAGAAACACGTCCAGTTAAATTAGTGGCAGGAAATCAACACTAGGAAATCCTCAATGACCTTTGCAGATGACTTTGTAGCATTTTAGGGATGAGGGAAAAGTAGGCATAGATAAATTATTAATCCACTTGTCAGCAAACTTCATGAATTGGGATTGATTACTAAGGGCTGGGGCTCATTGGAATGCATATTGTGGGTGTTTGCAGTGCCTAGATATTCACATGTGGAGTATAAGGTCAGTATGTTTTAAATGGTTAAAAATCCCTCTTTAAGAACTAAAGTTAGTGGTCAGATAAGGTGAGAAGGGCAATTTCAAAAGATGCCCACTTATAAATGGGCAGTGGGAGGAAAAGGATGTAGTTGAAGCTGCCTTAGCCTGGTAATGCAGGTGGGTAAATTCTACTTCTTAATAATTTACTGAAACAGCCCTCCTTTTCTCCCCACCATTAGTAGGCATTAAATCAACAAGCAGTCCCTGCCTTAAGAACCAACTACATAGATGATACTGCAAGTAGTGTAATTTGAGTATGTGAAGGGATATGAAGCCAAGGTTGTTAGTTCAGAGAAGTATTCTTGGAAAATACGGGATTTGCAGAGACCTTGCCACTTCTGTTTGAAGATAAATTTTTCATCCCTCAATGTGAATAGCTCCAGTAAATGGGATCAAGGCTTATCAGTTGCCCAAAATAAGATTGGAAATTAATTTCTGGTTAATTTTATCTTGCCCTTCAGTTTCATTTTTCCTCCGTGCTTCACTCTCATGAAATAGCACATTTGTTTTTTCCCTGCACCTCTACTAATGAAAGAGAAAAAAAAAGCTGCCCATTATCATTTTAACCTCCTTGATGTTCACCTCAGCAGTGTTTTCTGGATGTCTGTTCTAAAGCTTGACTGGGCATCTGTCAAATCTAGTTTTATGGTATTTAGTTTTTTGTGAATTTGGAACTGGAACATGTTCAGGAAGCTCACTCCAGTTTAGGTGGAGCATAACACCCACTTGAAAAATGTTTTTTAGGGAAGAGTACTCACTAAAATCAAGAATAGAAAGGAAATAATTTGATGGAACTTAAGCAAGAAAAATCAAAAGAAAGGAGAGGGTACACACACTACTGTCCCTAACGAAAGCGGCCAAAATGGATCGTTTGTCCTTGACTTTAACCCCATTCTCTTAACTACTGTGATGGAGACTTCTCATGGCTTCCCTTTTGGCAGGTGAGAGTGGTCAAACAAGCACCCATAAGGCATTGGCTTTACTTTCAATGCAGGTATCCCACTCCAGCGGAATCATTTCTGGGAAGCCCAAATTGACACTATTTCAGTTCCATATAATTCCTTGGGTCAACAACAGGTAACATCAGTTGCATGAAAAAGTAGACTAGATACTAGGCAGATGCTTATTTGGGCAGCTTGCATTCTAGTTGGAGTGATGAAAATAGCATAAAATGCATCACTGAAGACATTAAGGACATCTGTGGCTGTAGCTACACCAAACTAAGTGGACCTCCAGAGATCATATTCTCAAAAAGCTTAGCCACTCAAGATTGAGAAG